GTTTTAAAATAAATACTATGAATCCATTGAGGTATAAACATTATCCTTCCAAGAATGAATCATTATGAAGTATGTTGTATTAATTTCAATTATTTTTATACGTCGTAGAGCCATACTGCAGTTACATTAGTAATATAGTTGTAGCACGAATGGGTCGGCTCGACCGGGGAGGGACCACGCTCTCAAAGAATACCAGCGTAAAATAGCAGCTTAACGCTGCTGTGTTTCGTATGGTGAGTGTAAAGAACCGGAGACCCTTTTTACTGGAAACGAGGCATTCCATCTTAGTCCTCACGGGTGACAATGCATCTGCATTTTGATTTGTAATCGAGAATATATGTAGATGTCTATGGGCCACAGCAGCCACTTACCATCAGGTGGACTGTGCGCTCGTTTGTCTAAATCTCATAAAAAAAATATATAATTAATTATATTAGCACTATTTAATTCTAATTTTTAAACCCAAAATCAGAAAAATGAACCTACCTATATTGTTGAGTCATAGTATTTTTGTATAATCCTTTACAGTTATCGTTGTAGCCTATTAAAATTCCACTCTAAAACCTAGCCCCCCCCTCTGCCTCACGACGGCGCTGGCACTCACCTCCTAGTTTATTTCCCTCTGCCACTTCCTACGACATAATATGGGGTAAGTAGTGGATATTTTAAGGTTATTAAAATCATAAGATCATATACAACATTGCAAACTGACTAATTCACTATTGAAAACGATGCAATAAGCTACTATATGGGAATAAGAAATCGTTGCATATCTACATAATTCATACTTCATAAATCATTGAACCGCTGGAAAAGTACACGTTATCAATTGCCCCATTTGATTTAATACTTGATTTATACCCGCATCTTTCAATAATAACAGTCTAAGAGACATGAAATCTATTAAGCAAACGTCGCATATAACGAAACAATAGAAATATTGTTGTGTTATGATTTTTTCCATAGTTTTATGAATAGAAATTATTTTCTAAAGACTGTTACAATCGACTTCTGTTAACAATGAATCTGGTTGATCTTCTATGGGACTACAATTAAAGCTCTGTTTGTAAGTCAAAAGTACCTACTTTCAAACAATCCAATTCCAAACAATCGACTGAATCACCTCCTCCAATATGCAGTACCTAAATTAAAGCTAAGATTACATAAGTACTAAGAAAATTTCCTAAGTTTATTATCATCATAATCCAGAATCATCTACAAGCTATATCTACTTACTAAATATTAGCGGTGATTTGCCATAATCAACTCGAAGCATGCTTTGCAAAATAATAGTGAACATTTTGTGTTTACATACATTACCACACGTGTCCCAAAATTGCCATCTCTCCCCGTCGTTAGTCTGTGCATTTTTATTAATAACAATTAGTTTCTAGGCTCAGAAGGGCTAGAACCCAGGGCCGTAAAGCCAGTTAATAAAATAAAAAATAAAAACATTAGTTTCTACTTGTACACTTAATATATTCCAAACAAACCATCTATTAACAAATGACTAATTCTAAAGACTTGCATTAGGACAAAAGGATGAGCAATCGTAATGGAAGAATCTGAAGGGATTAAGTGTCAACGGCTAAGAATAATAAAAATCAATTAAACGTAAGAATAATAAAAACAATTAAGTAACGCGTATGTATGGTTCATAAAAGATAGCTTGATCTCTGCGACAGCTGTCAGTAAAATCACGCCTATGAAGTCCTGCACTAATTAGGTCGGCATGCACGTAAAGTAAGACATTGACAGGTACTGTCTGTACTACTAAGAAATTCAGGACTTCATAGGCGTGATTTTACTGACAGCTGTCGCAGTGATCAAGCTATCTTTTATGAATTTTGGTTACATATTCACCTACAACAATTACCGCTATAATCACGTAGGTTTTTGTTATTAATCTCTTTAAATCCACTATTTTATAGCTGCCCTTTTAAAAACCTGCTCTTTGTAAATCTTTTTTATTTAGGTTACCATAATAAAGTATAAATAAATAAAAAATAAACGTATATTTGAAATATACGCATATTTCATAATACGTGAGCAATCAGGGTTCGAACCCCGCCGGCACCAATGCGATTTTAAGTTCTGATTTACCACGCGCTCGACGGTGAAGGAAAACACGAGAGGAAACCTGCATGTCTAATAAATAAGAAAAATAAATATTTCAAAGACATGTAAAGTTCGCCAACACCACAGACGGTTAATCTGTGGTCAACACGCATTGGGGCAGCGCAGCGGAAACTTCTTTGCACTAAAAACTCTCTCAGAAATGAGAAATCAAAAAGATGCCTGTGCCCAGGACGTATATAGGCTACAACATAACCTCGAATTGGGTCATCGAACTATAGAAGGAGGTACAAAAGTAGTGTCGTAGGCGGTAGAAAATAAGTTCTACAATTATTAACAAAGAATGCCTGAATTTAGTCTGCCCTAAATTTATATATAAATCTTTTTTACTTTAATTAAGTACTTGAATAAAGTATAAATAAACAAAAACGAAACGTGTTTCGATTAACTTGAAGGGGCCTAAAGCTGGGAAACGTTATTTATACATTGCCGGAAATATACTTAAATGGGAATGGGATATTCGTCTTCTTTAACAGTATTTAAGTTCCATTTTCATCTTGTACCTCTTTACATTTTTTAACGTTAATTAATAGAATCAGATGTTACTTTGCGGAAATCCACCACCACTACACTTAGGGTTACCTTTTTTTTGAACAAATATAGTATTTTTCCCAAAAAAGATGCAAAAATATCGTACTTTTGAGAAATTCAGAAGAAAAAAAGTACACATTTATTTTTAATCTATGTATTTTTCCATATATTATATATTATAACATACGAGTATGTTGCTCTTTGCTTTGGCCGTCAATGATCTAACCACCTCACCTTCTACCTTATATTTAAAATATTTATAGGAGTTTGAGCAATTTAGATCCACGTTTAAATAAAGTAACAATTAATTTTTAATAAAATTAATGCATGCTCTTTTTATTTCTTCTTTCAATTTTACATTCATAATGGAAAAAATTCTTTCCGTAAAACTTACTTGTTCCAGACTTTCAATCACAGTTAATATAAGCGCGACAGTTGAATTAGGGATAAAAATATAGTACTTTACGTACTACATCATTTTTCTACAACATATAGTACAATTGACTGAAAAATAGTACAATACTATATATTATAGTACGTGTGGCGACCCTAACTACACCATGAAAGACACCACTGTCGATAATACGACACGTGTTTCGCCTCTACACGAGGCATCCTCTGATGAAGTATTATATATATAATGTTTCTACAGTAGCTGCCCGCTACGATACATACATTTTGATTGAGGGATGGGGGGAAGGTTATCCTAAAGCTAGGTAAGATACATCGTTTTATTTAATTTCGCAGAACTTACCTTGTTACTTGTTTTTACCATAAGGAGTGCTCGATTCAATTTTTCAGATTATTTCAGCCTTCAAATTTCACTATCGTACATTGCAGCGTATTTCTTAATTGATCTACATAGGTAGCTAGCAATCCACCACCGTAGTAGCAATCCACTACTGGCTGTAGTACAATTTACTGTTGCCACCTGATTTTAGAGACCGAAACGACTCATCTTCCCTTGAAGAAAAATTCTGTTTCATAAAGGCCTACAACGCACGTGCAAAGACGATGATCACTTACTTATATAGTTGTAGCACGCATAAGTCGCCTTGACCGGGGAAGAACCACAGAATAGCAGCATAAAATATATAATATAAGAGTGTACGCTGGTATTCTGTGAGAAACCAACATAGCTGCAGGGTGGCTCTAAGGGGGTAAGGTGGCTATTGTATGTTTAGAAAAAGTCCACTACCTTCGCCTCCTTGTTGTCGACATTCCACGCATTCCTAATAAAACGGTTTCATCTTTCGTAATGCATCCAGTAAAAGAGTGGATGCCGGCACCTGGCTTTCTGTCCGATAACAATCTGTGTGCCGGGGTGCCCTTACAAACGACAAGAGTGAGTAGGAGTTTTATGTTAAGATAAGATAAGCCATCTAGACTCTTTACGTGGTAGAGCCATGCTGCAGCTATATTAATTATATAGTTGTAGCACGAATGGGTCGGCTCGACCGGGGAAGGACCACGCTCTCACAGAATACCAGCGTCAAATAGCAGCTTAATGCTGTTGTGTTTCGTATGGTGAGTGTAGAGAACCGGAGACCTTTTTTACTGGAAAAAAGGCATTCCATCTTAGTCCTCAAGGCTGACAACGCATCTGCATTTTGATTCGCAAACGAGGATAGATGTAGATGTCTATGGGCCACAGCAACCACTTACCATCAGGTGGACTGTGTGCTCGCTTGTCACCCTTATCCTATAAAAAAAAAAAAATTCCCGCTTATTGTACCTACCACACAAATAATTTTCAGAAACAGCCCTTAACTTATTGGCTAACGATTAATAATATAACACAGTAATATATTATGTAATATTGGAATAAAAATATTCCAATATTACATAATATATTACTTACATTGACACGGTAGATATAGTCTATAAATATTGTTAACTACGATTCTCTTGAATTGACGGTATATTATGAAAATCTTTTTTCCTTAAAGTTTACCTCATGAGTTTACCAGTAAAATTTAATAATATCACATTTAAGAATAATATCCTATATTCTTAGAACGTCTGAAAAAATTCCAAAAAAGGAAAGAAAGTTGGGTCACTATAAATAAATGTCATTTATCAATAAAGAAAAAATAACTATGACTAAAACCATTTATATTTTTATGTTAGTTTTCACGTATTGAAGAATAGTTTGCATTTATTACCACTTTTTGGGGAGGCACCAGTATTTTTGGTCACAAATAATAACGCGCGTATACATTTAGACAATTTTTCAAAAGTGTTTTGTTTCGAACTTAGCTCTCGGACTTCACATCTAAGAGGAATAGTATTTTAAAGAATGAAGGTAAATAAAAATAAACCGAACAACTCACCATATTGCAAACAGTTACTTGAACACACAGACAAAACAATATACCTTTAAAAATTAACTGCATCTCTATAAGTTACGAGCAGATGCGACGCGAAAATGGTACAAAACTCTGATACACTAATCGAATTAAAATACACAGGATCTACGTCCGTACCTGCCGGCAGGCAGCGCCTGAATGCATAGATTACTGTGTATATATGCCCAAATGTTTCAGTTACACAAAAAGTACTCTGTGCTGAATATCATGAATCATGATTGTCATGTCATGTCAACACAAAATAGTATACCATAATTCCAAAATACATCTGTACTATGCATTAATACGCATTTGTACCACTGGACTACTATGAACAAACAGATTTTAATTTAATTTACCAAGTAATATAGCTCAAGCGCAAATTTCTCGATAGATGTAGTCAGGATTAAAACTACTTTTACGGATTTTATCGCGTTTATTTTTACTTTTTATTTACTTTTATTTTTAATTCCCGACGTTTCGGGCGCTTTCCAGCACCCATGGTCACGGGGGACTGAGATGACTGACGTCCCGATGTCATTGTTAAACCCGGAGTACCTTCAGCTTTTTTTTAATTATTGTTTATGGTCCGATCTATGCAAAATGAACTGACTATGTCCTGAGGTCTTGCAGTGGTATGCTTGGGTTTAGTTTTAATTTTATTTAATATAGGATCCCAAGCAGGTGGTAGTACCCAGCCTCCTTCTCTATTGAAATTAGGATGTTTTTTAATTTCAATAGCCTCACGTATCATCCTTGGTAGGAATCGGTGTTCTTTCGCGAGGATTTGTGGTCTATCAAATCTGATGTAATGGTTGGGTCCGTCTAGGATATGATCACAAACTGCAGACTTCCCGGAAAGTTGATGCTTCACATCATCTATATGTTCTTTTACGCGGGTCCTAATTGATCTTTTTGTTTGTTCTATATAAGAGAGACCACATTCACAATCAAGCTTGTACACTCCTGCATCTTGTAGAGGAATATGACACTTGACGGATGGTAGGAACTGACTAATCTTCTTCGGCGGCTAGTCAGTTCCGAAAGCTGAAGGTACTCCGGGTTTAACAATGACATCGGGACGTCAGTCATCTCAGTCCCCCGTGACCATGGGTGCTGGAAAGCGCCCGAAACGTCGGGAATTAAAAATAAAAGTAAATAAAAAGTAAAAATAAACGCGATAAAATCCGTAAAAGTAGTTTTAATCATGTATAGTGTTCGCGTAAATATAAGAAATCAAGATGTAGTCAGATTTGCAATTGTGCAAAAATAAGAAGACGCTTTTACAGCTTCAGCAACACTCCGCAGGGATGACAACGCAACTGCATTTTTTGATTTCTTATATATAAATAAACAATAGAATTGCACTGGGATAAACAACATATACATGGTAAAGCTATGCTATAGCAAGCTTGTAGCACTAATTACTCGGCTCGATCGGGGACGGACCACGTTCTTACAATACCAGCATAAATAGCAGCTTAATGCTGCTGTGTTTCGTGTGGTAAGTGTTGATAACCGCAGACTCTTTTTACTGGTGAGGTATTCCAACTTACTTCTCAGGTATCAAAACGCAATTGAATTTAGATTCTCAATCGAAGATAGTAGTAGATGTTTATGGGCTACAGTATCCAATTACCAGCAAGTGGACTGTGTGTTCGTTTATCATACTTTTTTTGACTGCCTCGTTGGTCTAGTGGTTGTTGTAGTGCGAGTGCTGATTGATCATGAGGGTTCAAATTCCGGGTCGGGCCAAAAAATCAATTTTCCGTCAAGAAATTCTCATAAGCTGCCCGGAATCAGGAAGTTGGTGGTGTTCCACCCTCGTGCCTTGGAAAGCAGTAGAGCCGTTAGACCTGCGCCTGATCCCTCTCTGGTCGTGTCAGTTTACCGTGCCATCGGATTATGAGAGTGAGGTAATAGAGAGTGCACCTGTGCTTGCGCATACACTTGGGCACTATAATCCTGTCCTGCGCCGATGGCTAGTTTCCGTTGAGGCAGGCCGCCGTGACCGAAATCCGGTTATATAAGCCGGAAGTATAGGCGCCTACGTCACAGTGACCGAGTGAAGCCGGCCACAGTCGAACGTGTGCCTGCTGTACTACCATATGTCAGAGGTGTCACAGACAAGATTGGCTATATCTTGAAGCGAGCTTCTATTAGAACATTCTACAAGCCGCCGAAGAAGATTAGTCAGTACCTACCATCCGTCAAGTGTCATATTCCTCTACAAGATGCAGGAGTGTACAAGCTTGATTGTGAATGTGGTCTCTCTTATATAGGACAAACCAAAAGATCAATTAGGACCCGCGTAAAAGAACATATAGCTGATGTGAAGCATCAACGTTCCGGGAAGTCTGCAGTTTGTGATCATATCCTAGACGGCCCCAACCATTACATCAGATTTGATAGACCACAAATCCTCGCGAAAGAACACCGATTCCTACCAAGGATGATACGTGAGGCTATTGAAATTAAAAAACATCCTAATTTCAATAGAGAAGGAGGCTGGGTACTACCACCTACTTGGGATCCTATAATCAATAAAATTAAAACTAAACCCAAGCATACCACTGCAAGACCTCAGGACATAGTCAGTTCATTTTGCATAGATCGGACCATAAACAATAATTAAAAAAGCTGAAGGTACTCCGGGTTTAACAATGACATCGGGACGTCAGTCATCTCAGTCCCCCGTGACCATGGGTGCTGGAAAGCGCCCGAAACGTCGGGAATTAAAAATAAAAAGTAAAAAATAAACGCGATAAAATCCGTAACAGTAGTTTTAATCATGTGCAATGTTCGCGTAAATATAAGAAATCATTATGTTGGCCAAATTAGCTTAATTACCCAAACAGATCTTGTCGTATGTCCACGTCCAACACACATATGGTGAGCTAGGTGTGGTTGAAGAAACGTGACCGTCTATAACACCCTTTGTAGTAGTACGTACAACGTGTACTGCTTTGTTGGTCTAGTAGTCGTTAACGCGTTTACTGATCGTGATGTCCCGGATTCGAATCCCGGGTCGGGCTAAAATCAAATATTGGTTTTTCTATCAAGAATTTCTCAGTAGCAGCCTGGAGGAGGAGGGCAGCACGTAAATTCGTTTGTCCTGCGCCTGATCACTCTCCGGTTGTGTCGGATAACCGTCCCATTGAGCCATGAGAGCGAGGGAATAGAGGCTGCACTTCTATTTGTGTATACAATATAATCATCTCATGGTCAGAAGGTTAGTATCCGTTGATGGCCACAGTGCCCGAAATTCAGTCTGGACGATATTATTATTACCACGTGCTAGAAAAGACAAGTAAGTTTTTGTGGCACTGACTAAGTTTTTTTTTTAATAAAATAAGGGTGACGAACGAGCACACGGTCCACCTGATGGTAAGTGGATGCTTTGGCTCATAGACATCTACATTCAAAACTGGGGATAAGAATGCCTCGTTTCCAGTAAAAAGAGTTTCCGGTTCTCTACACTCACCATATGAAGCACAGCAGTATTAAGCTGCTATTTTACGCTGGTATTCTGTGAGAGCGTGGTCCTCCCCCGGCCGAGTCGACCCATTCGTGCTACAACCATAATATCGCTGCAGCGTGGCTCTACCACGTATGAATTAAGTTTGACCCGTGAGCTCTAACGCGTGTACCAACGCTTTTTTATTTAATTTTGACTTCCATAAAGCTCTTATGAAAGTCAGAATAAACAACGGTTCGGAGAAACAAGACTCTCTTGTAGAAAAACCAGCAAGAACCACAACCACAATAGCATATAGAACTCCACTGCTGAACAAGGCATCACCTTAGATTCCCCTTAGACTCATAGTCAGCAAAAGTCTGTACATATAATAGGCTTATGAAGAAGACGTTGTAGTTAGTGAAATCTGTACGTTTTTTTTATGTATCTTCAGTAATTTCCTTTTTCGAAAGAGTTTTATCAAAGTATATCTGCGAGAATTTCACCTTTTGTGACGGTAACAAATATTTTTAATACACTCATATCTTTACGCTGTTGATTGCGTAATTTTCGATTGTACAGATATTGAAACATATTTTAAATTAAAATTTACCTTATATTTAATAATACTTATGGACCTAGTTATTATATTAATTATATTTCCAAATAGCTTCATAATATGTAGTCGTCAATCGAAAGAAAAATCTAGACGAAAACAAAATATTATAGAACCCTATACTGAAATCGTATATAAAGTACATATTATTCAAATATTAAGTTACAATTTTACCTCTCTACTTCGTAAGTGTTATTTAGCATGTTGCGAAATTCTGTTGTTGGCTAAGTGTCCTAATATTTTTTTAAGTACGATTGTTAAAAAATATATACTGCTGAGTTTTCTAATAATAAAAAATATTCAAGAGGTGTGAAGATTTAGTTTTCTTATAAGTACTAACGCTGTCTCCTACGGTATTCTCTTATAATGAGGGCAATCCTTTCTTTTTCATTGTCACGCTAAGTAAAGATGTAGTGCTTGTAATATAGCACGTAAATTTTTGAGTTATGTTTTTTTTTTCACTAAACTTTAATTTGCAGCAATTTGTACTTAATTGTTAAAGATCCTAAATAACAGCCTATACAAGACTACTGTACTGCTGCTAAGGGCAACAGGCACTGGCCTCGTTTCATTCAATAGGACAAGGAAGAATTCCAGGCGTCACATCGTGACGTGTGCAGTGAAGTGAAGTGGAAGTTTACACCACGTAAACTCCACTCCAATCAACTGCACACAGCTATATTATGGTTATAGCACGAATGGGTCAGCTCGACCGGGGTAGGACTACGTCCTCACAGTATACCAGCGTATAACAGCAACTTAATGCTACTATGTTTTCAATGGTGAGTGAAGATAACGGGATACCCTTTTTACTGGAAACGAGGCATTCCATCTCAGTCCATAAAGGTAAATCACATACGAAACATAGCAGCATTGAGCTACTATTTTACGCTGGTACTCTGTGGTAACCTTTCC